GTTTTATTGGCTGCTTTACAACGTAAGTCATTAGCAGCAATACGTCTAATACAGCAATAAAATAAGACAAGGCTTTTAAAACCTACTTTAGGCGTTCTATGGTAAATAAAGACGGAGCCAGTGCTTGGAGAACATATCGACTGACTCAAAAGACAACTATCAGGTTAAAAGATTGCATGCTCAGAAGTTGAGATCGATTCAAACTAGCGCTTAATAACTGCCGTATCCTTTAGTGAAGTAAAATTGTAAAATTTTTCGTCACCTAAGCAAAATACCAATTAGCCTACTACTTACTGCTACTGAAAAGACCTCAACCGCAAGCACATCAGAGCTAACAGTATGTAATGAATGGTCAATAAATGGTAACTTCACATTTAAGCACGGCAAGAAAGAAGCAAAACCGGGGATTTTACTACACAATGAGCACGAGTTATTCAAGCTGGTTCATACATAACAACAAAAGGAAATAACTGATACCAAAAGCAACTTGCCTCCGAACAACTTCGAAGACTTTCTGAAACGCACAATATACAGAGAATATACGTCGCTTTGGTTGAAAATAAAAGGTACTCTAGCTCACTTCGTAACACAACGCTTGAAAGAAGAAAAAACTTTCAATGCACTTTCAAAGAAAACGATTCTCAACTAACCCTAACAAATGAACTACAAGAGTAAAATGCTCGTGGTACCCATCGACCCCCCAAAAAAGGGGATGATTAAAAACCTTTGATACGATTGCTTGACGTAAGTGAATGTGAATCATATCAAAGTCAGCGAGCAAAACTCAGATGTTATTAACAAATTAAAAGTGCAATGAAGCAGAAAAATACAAACAACGTAGGCACGCTTGAGCAGAGAGGTAACTCAACTCATTGCGATTATCATATAACAGACTTAAAGAAGCTCAGGCTTCCTGCTAAAAAGCCAACTGGTTAACAAACTAAAATTTGTAAGTATCTTCTCAGCAACGTATTGTGCTAGTTGGCCCACTTATGCAAAGAACCCTGAAGAAACAATCTTCAAGCAACAAATCAGAGAAGAAAGCCGAATGCCACACTAGGTAAAACTTTCGCTTCCCCCTCCTTCCCAACTTCCTCAAGTTTTCGGACTTCTTGATCACGCAAAAAATAAGTTGTTTTTCTAACAAAAAGGTAGAAATTGTTAAAAAATTATGCATCTTAACGTATGGAATGCAAGACCACCCGAATGCGGCAAGTAGAAAAAGCATGTTGAAGAACATGAAAAACGAAAGCGAAGTCTACCTAAATTTGAAGATATAAATCTTGCTTCTAAACTCTGCACAAACAACTACATCAGAGATGGTGCAGCATGTTAAGTGAAAAGAAGAAAGCAAATAAGAAAGAGAAGAAAACAGAACCGCGAACGTCTATCTATATTTAACCGTACAAACTCAATTTCTAAACTACACAACAACTACACCAGGATTGGAGCAGTCTGTTAAGTGAAAAAACTGGTAGTAAGTTCCTAGAGTTGATTAATTACTTATCAATAAGAGTGCTCGTTAATAAATTATTATTACACCACATGCTAAGTTTAGATTTTCCGGGAGGCTGGTAACCCACATTGCTGCTTAGTGTCCATAGATCACCATCAAAACTAGAATGTTCGTCTTCTAAACTGTTAGTAGACCTGAAAGGCATATAATAAAGCTACTACCACAAAAAAGAAATATTTAAGCTCCTCTTATTCAAACGTTTGCAACAACTTATAAAGGTCTAACCAGGCATTTCCAACCAAGCCGCATTTTTCATTCTCATCCAAATCAGACCATGCAGACCTAATGTCAATGCTATCTGCAGAAGTATCTAAACCAAACATACGAGACGGAGCCGCCACAGGTGTCTTCAGTGCAGCAAGATCCCGCATAAATCTCTGCGGATTAGGATAACTGAAAAATTGAAAGTTGCAATCCAAATAAGTGATCAATAACTAGAAAAGTCAATCTTCACTAGCCAAAAAATGGATCACAACTACATAATTTGGGTTAGTGAGTCAAGACAAACATTCTTACCATGATAAAAGATCAGAAATGAATTTGTCAGCATTGAAGTTCAATAATAAATCATGCTCAGTCACATTTTCGTTTACATTTGCTTCTCCAGATTCGGTGCTATGCACACTCAGCTGGAGACTTGCGGGACGGTGGGGCTCTTGATTCTTAAGAAAAAAAAAAAGGAAAAGAAAAAGAACTCAGAAGAGAAAAAGTGAACAATAAAACTGTTCAAAATCAAGTGAAAAAAAAGGTGTCTAATGCAAACAACAGTCAGACTTTGTAACTCACTTCGCTGATGTCATTATCCTTCTTTCTTTTGCCATTGCAAGACGCCGCCGCCACATCTGCGTACGATGTTGGTAGTTTTTTCGTGGCGATATTTGTCAAAAGTGATTCGTTGACACTTACAGAATTTCTACAAGCATCCAACCCAGCCTGAAAAACAAACTCAGCGTACGGTATACATTGAGAAACAAGTTTTCTAAGCAGAAGCAAAGAACATTTAAGGGAAAAGCGGACTACTATACAAAAAAAAATTAAATATAAGACTTCAAAAGTTTTCAATAAAGACCATTGTTGATGAAAGTGTTTCCTCAAATTTCAGAGCGCTATCGTAGTGGTCCGCTAGTATGGTTTCAATACCCTCCGGTTCCATAACTCCATTTACACCATGGTAACTACGAGGAGGGGGGGTTGGGGCGCCTTCACTGAGTGTCGTCATGGAAGAAGTGTCACTCGAAAATGCTTCCTACAAAAAAAAAATTCCCATACCTCTTTTACTTAGTAAATAAGACTCCTTTTATATCCATAAATGTCCCATAAAGAGGATACCGGCAAGTAAGTAACATTTGGCGCTACTGTACACGCTGGCGGAAGTTGACCTCGAGCTAATGCTGCACCGTACGAAATCGTCTGACCCTCATCAATTTGTGCAAAAGGTGTGTGTGGGAAGCTGGAACTGGACTTTGACGCAGAGCCACTAGACGAAATACTCGAACTGGAATTTGAATTTGGCTGCCTCTTTTTCCAACCATCAACAGACGGCATTTCGAAGTAAAATCCGTCGCTTTCAGCATCATACCTAAGTGAAAAACCAAAGTTACAACTCAAAAAAAAGCGAACTAGTTAGAGCAATAACAGTAAAAGTTACTGCCTACATGCTGACTAATTAATCGAAAGAATTTTGAAAAGAAATTCAGTTGTGCTGTACATCTAAAATATTTATTATCTTGAGAATATAGAATATATTCCTATATGATGCTATTCAACGAACAAATAAGTAAAGGAAAAATGAAACGGGACCACTCGCTTTGTAAAACAGGCCCCAATGTGACAGACAAAAATGTTTTAGCTATTAGGCCCAACAATCCCTTTAGACACTTAAAAGCAATTGGGTTCTTCTAAGAAGAATACCACTGCGGGAAAAAAAAAAAAAAAGAAAAAGTTTTTTAATCCAAATAAGGTTGGAAACCAATAAATTATAAAAAGCAAATAATATACGTTAAAGATTACTTAAATTGAGGAGTAACTGCAAAATAATTCTGGTTAAACGCCACATTTCCGTGAATTTCAATCGGTGGTACAGCAAGACTTCCAGCTTCTCGCCATAACTTTATCATTTCCTTAAAAATCAATAAAACGATTGTTAAAAACTAAAGAAGTGTACAGTTACTGACAAGCGACAAGCACTATGACTAAAAAACAGCCCACCTGTTCCATCAGCAGCCTCCTATGTTCAATAGCTGGTGTATGCCGTCGCCAGCCACGGGACCCCATCTGCTCATAGTAGTATCCATTGCTCATGGGGTCATAGTACCTAAAACAGGCGGTAACCTTTAACCCAAAGATTGTCATTTGATCCTGTGCTTCTTTTAATTTATACTACAAGAAAGTCTCCATTTCCAAAACCTAGAATCAAAAACTTAAAAGTGGCTTTTGGATAAAAGTAGCGTAAAAAATTGTCAAATAAAATTCGCGTAGCGTGAATAACACTAGAATTAAAAATTTACCAGTAATGATCCTTGCTATAGTCCAATTTGGGCGTTAATTTCCCTGTAGTCGAGTCCTCTGAAATAAAACTTATTAATGACAAAGGCTTCACAAAAACTGTAAAACACATACATTTAACTAAAAAAGTATACTCAATAGCAATTCAGTCACGTGGAATAACGAAGTTTGAAAAATTACCCTGCGCCGAGACGACCAACTTGCTTTCTGCCATTTTTTTAACCTGACGCTGACGTGAACGCTTGTTACGTTTTTTTGTCTCATCATGCATTGTACTCTTGTTATTTGAAATGTGGTCACCTACAATCTTCCCTCCAGCATCTGTTTTCGCTTCCGTCGAAGACGACGATGAACCTGAAAGAATTAAATCATAATTTTATTGAACGATTAGAAACCAGATACTAAATTTGATAAACCATATGACTTCCAGGGATAAAACCAGCGCTTTGTAACAAAACATTTAAAAAGTGAAAACCTGTACGCCCCAAAAATTTAGAATCGGTTTAAAATAATGAGAACAAACCAGAAATACACTGTATGACACGACTACACTCAGATAAAAAAATGTAAAAATAACAAAAATAAAAAAAAAGATAAAATTAACACTAAACGAAATAAAGGACCAAGTGTATGGGAACAAATACAACCAAATTCCAAAGCTACAGTTTCACGGTCCGCCAAGTCAGACAACAAATGACAATCGAAGCTCATCTAACAAACCTAATAACACGGTCAAATCAAAAAAGCCCACAATAATAACAGATGCCTTGCAAAATCCCCTGAAAAAACCGTCAAAATACTAAAAATTGAAAAAATGATAGAGGTGGAACAAGAAACCAAAGAACTGCAAAAAATTATCAAAACAGAGATCAGTTTCGTAACGAATCACAGACTCAATAAAAACGTTTTTAAAAATTAGAATTACAAAATCCAATATATTAAAGAAATTAATATTGAAAACTACAATTCTCTTACGACGCAAGGAGAACAAAGAAAACGTAGGCCAAACAGTACCGCCAGTTAATTCTAAATCGGAAAAACAAATATACCTACACAAGAAGAAAACTAGAATTCACAAAGTGTCGATAGACTAATAGAGTTCAGCCAACAAAGCTATTGTTACATGTTGAAACACTGGTTAGATTTGAATAATGAACCTTCTAAAATAAACGGAAAAGCGTTGAAGGGGATGCAAAAAAAGAAGAAAAACAGACGAGGGGAGCAGAGGAAGATGGTTAGGTAGGGAACACAGAATTGCGTAAACATTAGAATGCCACGCAAGTCAGTAGCAAAGTTACGGTGCAATTTTAAACAGGTCAAAAGCCGATAATACCCTTATACTAAAAGTTCACACCAAGACTGCGGGTGCTAAACTTCTCCCCTTAAAATCTGAGACCATCAAAACATGCATATACTGACGCTACACAAAACGGTAAGCAACAAAAACCACGCTGTGGTGTGAATATTCTGCGGGGAAAAAAGTAGCAGATGTAAAGTTCAGATGGACGCATCATGATTCATTAATCGCGTAGGCGTCACTATGTATTTAAGCAGGCTGTTGACTGGCTCAAAAAAAAGGAACTTATAATAATAATAATTCCGGAGAATGACCCTGTTACGTTATCTATTTCTTATTTAACCACACGATTGAAGCTTCAAAAAACATGGCAACAAGGAATATAATAAACAACAAAACCTATTTCAAAATCTTAATAAACGCAAAAATGACTAAAGAAACGAATAAACAAAATTATTACAAGAAACGGGACTGAGACTCAATGACAATTTGAGTAAAGAAACGTTCAAAAAGCGGAAATATAATATAAATTAAACTACTACATTCTAACTACAACAAAACAGCTATTACACATGCAGAATATAATTAATGAAATCATACGAGGAAAGTGGAACTTCAAAAACAAAAAAAAAAAAAAAAA